GGAGTCGACGGAAGGCGGTTATGAATTATTTAAGTATTATTTCCACAGATATTGGAGTAACTTTTGCACCGACCTCGAATTAATGCTAATCTATGATTAACCGATTAACTTTTCCTTTTATATATTTAGGGAAAGAGAGAGATACACACATGTGCAAAATTTAATTTTACCTATTTGTTGCAACTAGACTTTACGTTAACGAACAAAGTATTTAAATTATTTTATATATTAAAAATAATGCACATAAGTAATTTAAAAATAATTTAAAGTTGAAAATTATAGTTATAGCCATATCAATAATATGATAGTTTTACGATTATATTATGTTAATTGCATTTTTTGGACGATGATCTTTTCTAAATATAACGCAGCATTAAATAATGTACGGATTATTATAGTGATTTCCAGAGAGCTAACTTATTAAATTAACGCACAGGTGATTTTTCGTTGCAGGAACCCGGGCGTGCAGCTAAGCGAGAGTATTCCCGATTTCTTTTTACGTCAGCTGTAACGAGTGATGTTATTCCTTATGTAAGTTTTTCTCTTATAAACTTCTGTGTAATCTAGGTAACTTACTTTTACCTAGAAAAAAATGTAGTATAATATTGTGTTGGTTAATGAGATCGTAACGATTACAAATATCGAAGTGAATAAATCAATAGGTATTTATCATGAAAGCAATTCTTTTTCAAATTACAAGACTCATTTCATTCTAATAAAAATTACGTCAACGTGTGTTACAACTCCTCATTTTTTACTGGTGATAAAAAATATAAATTAATATAATTTATTAATATAATTTATCACCAACGAAATTAATTGAAATAGAAAATTTTTATATCTGTACTTTTATAGAATTCGATCCACTACAACAATTTGACAATTTCGATATTAGACATCTTTATAATTTTCGGTTCAGAAAAATTAATTAAAATGAAAAATCTTCAATTTTTCAAGAAATTCGTTTCTCCAAAATCTAACGAAGATCCTCGAAAAGTACCTCACCCCCTTTCTTTCTCTCTCTATAAAAATCATATCTTGCGAAATATTAATATAATTTATTAATATAATTTACCAAGGGAATTAATTGAAATAGAAAATTTTTATATCTGTACTTTTATAGAATTCGATCCACTACAACAATTTGACAATTTCGATATTAGACATCTTTATAATTTTCGGTTCAGAAAAATTAATTAAAATGAAAAGTCTTCAATTTTTCAAGAAATTCGTTTTTCCAAAATCGAACAAAGATCCTCGAAAAGTACCTCGCCCTTCTCTCTTTCTCTCTCTATAAAAATCATATCTCGCGAAATATTTCGTCCGCGTGGATAAAGGCGAATCGAATCGATTCCTCGCGTAAATCGTAGTTCGGAAAAGGAGAGAACGCGTTGCGCACGCGGCGAGGTAAATATAGTATCGCTTAGCACGCGAATGTGTGTGTGTGTGTGTGTATGGGGCTAACGACTACCAAACGCAGAGAAAGTTCTTCTAAGCGTTCCGTGACCTTTCGTATCATTCCGACGGGAAGAGAGAAAAAAAGCAGCGGTCAAACGCGGAGGGTGCAACGCGCGGACTTTCGCCCACGGTTTCACTCGCGCCCGACGAAATGCCGCGGCGCAAATTCCGTCGACATTTTACACGAGCGCGTAGACGCGAGAGACACGCGCGCAAGTTGCAACGCTTAATCTAATCGACGGTGTATTCTTTTTTGCCGAAGGACGTTGGAGCGAGTCATCCCGTCATCGCGCTTTTCAAACGCAACGCGGCTCGACAAAGGTCGACTTTCACACCGTGAATAAGCGAGATTGGAGAGAGAGAGAAAAAAAAAGATTCGGATTAATTAAAGACCCGTATTGCAGTTCGATGACACCTGTCGAACGCACGATTATCACTTCTAAAGAAAGATTTCGCGCGAAGACGACATTATTAGATGACGTTATTAGCGCTCCGATTGAAAGACATGAAAAAGACCGGCGCGATAACGCGTCTCAGGTTCCCGATGCCGGCGATCGGAATTCTCGAACACCCCGTATATCAGGATACGGCGAGGCGAAAGGCGCGAGTACGCCGGCCGAGTATTCTATCGCTCGTAGGTGGAGCCGCGTCAAGGTGGAGCGCTCGATCTCGGGGGGCCTCCGTCCGAGAGATGGGAGAGAGGACAGCGAGCCGAGGGTCGGATCAGGTCAGGTCGGGTCGAGTCGAGTCGAGTCGAGTCGTTCCCCGAGACTTATGTTAGTCGCGGTCGCGACGACGCCCGCGGTTACCGATATATATACCATTGTCGCGATCGCCTCGCATATACCGCTACAGGCTAACGCCCGTCCGCGCCCCCCCTCCCTCCCTCCCTCCTCCGTCTATCGTTCTCCGTCCGTCCGAGCGATTTTCTCGGGTGCCCTCGTCCCGCGCTTCGTCTTCGCGCCGCGGTTCCCCCCTTCCCGCTCCGTTTCCTCGCGTCCTCTTCCTTCGCGGCTCCTTTAATCGCCTCCCGAGACGCGCGCTCACAATTTCCTGCGCTCTCGGTCACTTACTCTCCTACCTTGAGAAACGCCCGGACGCTCGACGGGCGATTCGACGGTGATTTCGCGTCCGCGCGCGCCGCGAGAGAAAGGAGAGGAGGGCCCCCCCCTCGAGCGAGCGCTTCCCCTGCTCTCCCCCTCGGGAGCGCCTCGAACGAGACGCGTCGCGATGAGACGAGATCGGGATCGGGATCTCGTCTCCGCGGAGAAAGAGCGGGGACTCTCACGGTTTTGTAAGGAGCAGTGGTTGCCTCGTCTCCCTCCTTAAGGGGATGCCGGAGTCCTGTTTTACTGATAAAATGTCATATTTCATTTTTGTACGAAATCGTTTTATTAATTGCACAGACTAATAAATGCTCCTTCGCGATTAAAGTGCAGAAACAAAGCGGGAACCTCCTGATTTTATGTTAAAAATTAAGAGAAAATTGAAAAATTACAGTTTTTAATCAGCTTCGAATCGTAACAATATTTGCTTTGTATGCACAAAGTAAGATAGGTATTTCGGTTTATTTACCGAAATCTTTTTCATTAGAGGCTTCTAAACTCATTTCTAAAAATTCATTTATATTCCTTCGTACAATCTCTAGCGGGAACCCATCTTATTTTGCGTGTACAAGCTGCAAAACTTTTATATTAAGCAAATATTGTTCTGACCTTTTTACGATTTTTCAATTTTTCAAAATTTTTAATATAAAAGATCAGAAGGTTCCCGCTTTGTTTCTGTATGTACTTTAATCGGAGGAGCATTTATTATTTTGCGCAACTAATAAAAAGATTTCGGACAATAATGAAATATAACATTTTATCGATAAAACAGGACTCCAGCATCCCCTTAATCCGTAAATCTCCCCGATGGATCGTAAATGCTTCGCGTTATCCTTAATTAAGTTTTAACCGCCTCTACGCGGAACGCGACTCGATATAAATGCAAATTGTACCGAGTCGATTCTCTCGTGAATCCCTGGAGGAGATCCCTTCGTAACGAGAAAGCTAGATAGGAGAATAACGTAACTTTTAAAGTACAAACGTATGAAATTAATCAGATCTGATTCCTATGCTTACGTTCGATTTAAATTTTATTTAAACGATAGCGGTTCGATAATCAAAGCGCGTCGAGATAATCTTGCAAGCTCAAACATACTTGTCATTGTTTATTATCAGGTTACTTTCATACAGGATGTTCCAACTTTCTGCAGAGTACATCCTTGTACATCACTTCGTATTTACTTTCTACTATACCACGCAAAAATGTGCACGAAACCTAGAAATCACAAAATGTACTCCATCTGCTATGAATTACGCAAATTGATCGATAAATATTATAGCAATCTGCAAAGGCTTCGATCAAAGGCGAAAGAAAAGTAGCCAATCCATTAAATCTGGCAGGCTCCGAGAGAGACAGAGAAAACGTAACGAAACAGAAACGTCCCGCGTTTGAGCGTCACTGGTGCCCAGAGTATCGCGCAGTAGTAGGGACGGACTCGATGGGCGAGCGTGCGCGGGGAAGACGGGGAGCGAGGGGGACACGTGGAGGTGGGGGGAAGGGGGGCTCAAGGCCGGTCGCGCTGTCAGAAGGCCTGCGCGCCGAAATATCAACAAGCCTTTTTCCTACTCGGGAGCGAGCACGCTGCCGATGATGGCCGATCGGGTCGTCGGATCCGCTCCTCTCTCGAAGGGAAATTGCGCTTGTCGCCGAGACTAAGAACTCGGACGAAGAACCGCTCGTAAAGTCGCGCTGCGGTTTAACGCCCGAGAGTCGAGCGAGAAACGGGGAAGGGGAGCGGGTGATATAGAGAGGCGAAGAGGAGAAAGAGAAAGAGAGAGAGAGGGAGGGAGAGGGAAGAACGAGTAGAGAGAGACGGTGCGCGCGTGCACGCGCTTGCGTCGAGTTTCGGACAGGTGGCGGCTGACAGCTGACAGTTCGCGAAACCCGTATCGAGAACTTACGAAACTGACTGTCGCGCGAGAGGACGCGCGAAACACGCGAGACACACGTTAGACGCGAGTTAGGTACGGTGCGCGTCTCTCGCGCGTGCGAGAGAAAGACGCGCGCGGACAGACGGAGAAGGAGAAAGGAAAGAACGTAAAAATGTCTCTCTCGCGGATGAAGATCGCTGCCAGGTGCGCGGCTCGATATCGGGCTCCGCGAGAGAGACTTTGGATCGCGTCGCGTTTTGCTCCGACGACGTCTACGCGAAAAAGAACGCAAAAGAGAACGAGGGAGGGGCGGGGAGAGCGAAAGGGGGAACAAAAGTCCGCGCGAGGAGGGAGGAGGGAAGAGAGCGAGAAGGACGCCGCGAGGGGGAGGAGGGAGAGGGGGGAAGGCGAGCGGGAGAGGGAAGGGGGAACGGAGGAGGAGCGAGAAGGAGAATCGAGGGGTCATCGGGAAACATAACCTCCGTATTCTCGGACTTGCACGGCGAACGGACTTTAATGCACGTTACCGCCCGCTCTTTCCGGAGCACGCAGGCAATCTCTTACCTCGTCCTCGAGCGCGCCCCGGCGCTCTCTCTCTCTCTCAATTTTCCTCTCTCGTTCCGAATCTCTCGACCGACGACGACGACGACGACGACGACGACGACGACGATGACGGCGATGTCGTATCGCGGGTAAGTCCAGCTCTCGTGGAGGAAGTAATATAAGGCACTCCTGACAGTCTTTTTTCACGATGACGGCACCGTGGCACCTATTGTATCGCGCGAGCACAGCGAAGGGCGATCCGCGAGCGAGAACGTATCACGTCGCACTGGTCGCACTATACCGATCACATTCGCGTGTACGAGGGAGAAGGAGAGAGGAGGTGAGAAAAGGAACGAGGAGAGCGAGAGAAAAAGAGAAAGAAAGAGAGAGAGAGAGACGGCGGCGGAGGCAGAGCACCTCGCGCTGCTGCTCCCGGTGGACGACGACGCGCCGTGTCGGCCGGGCTCGGGCACCGAGGGAGGTAACGACGAGCGGCGGGCGAACGAACCCGGGGCGACCGCGCGGCACGCACCTTCGCGTCGCGTTACAACAGCGGGGCGGCGGGTAACAATGAGCCACGGGCGGTCACGGGTAGCCACAGGGCCCACAGGCACGGGCCACCTCCGTCTCCGCTGCTACTCTGGCTGGTGGCACCTCCGCGCACCACGAGTTCGCGCTCGACTGTCTCTCTCCGTCCTTCTCTCCCTTTTTCTCTCTTCCTCTCCCCCCCCGCGCTCCCTCCTCTCGTCTCGCTCTCGCCGAACGAGTCCCTCGCGTGTACGTGTGCGCGCGTGTGGGGCCCTCGTACCTGCTTCTCCGTCCTTCTCGTCGCTCTTTCATGAATTTCTCCGTCCCTTCTCTCTCGTTCTCTCTCTCTCTCTCTCTCTCTCTCTGTCTATCTGCTTTGCGGTGACTGTACGCTGGTACAGTACACTGTCGCGCGATGCCGACACCTCCGCGGATCGCTCCGAGACGCGGCGCGTCCCCCTTTGCCGTTCGCCGGTGGACACGGAGGCTGGATGGTTGCGGAGCCCCTGCCCCGGAATGTCGGATTACGTGTCCGCGTAATAGCGGTCGCGCTTAAAAATGGAAAGTTTGCGCTTAGCCGATAACGCGTCTCGCGTCCTCGCGAAACCCTAATAAAATTCGCATCGATTACGACGACGATTCCGAGATGGGAACGTTGTAAAACCCGTGCCTCTCGCATTCGACGTTTACTCGTTTCTACCGCAAGCTCAGTTACGATATCTTGTTTAATGTACCTTGCAAATCTCGGCTATCTCGAGGACGGAAGATTCCGTTAATCGCAATTAGCCTTCGATTATCTCGAGTCTGCTGCTTTATCGAGAAACGCCCGAGGTGATATAAAGTCGATATATATATGGATTGTAGATTCGGATTTCGGTGGAGCGGGTATCCATCGCTAGCTGCTTTCGTGTGTCGCACAGACGAAAATCACATCACGGTTCAACGCTCGAGTCTGACCGAGGTCGCAGCGGCTTGCTCTCCTTAGGAGCGATCGGCTTCTCGATTCGCGTTCGTAAACTTTATCAACGAACAAATGCTCGCTAGAAATTCGTTCGATATCCTTGAAAGTCTCTAATGAAATCGAATGTCGACGTTAAAATTGTTACATTATTTTTTTAAAGAGCGATTGTCGATCGATCAAACATTTTTTGAACTTAATAATTATTCCGAGGATATGAAATGTATCGTATGAAAAATGTTATTTATTTCTTTCGAGGATAAAAATCGAGGAGAGAATTTTTTCTGTTTCCTGTAAATTTAATTCGCTCGAACTTCTTTATAAATAATTTTTACGTTATCGGAATTTGACAGAGATACGATATTTATTATATATTTCGAGGATAAAAAAATCAGTAGAGCATTTTTTCCTGTTTCCTGTAAATTTAATTCGCTCGAACTTCTTTATAAATAATTTTTACGTTATCGGAATTTGACAGAGATACGATATTTATTATATATTTCGAGGATAAAAAAGTCAGGCTGGAGAGTTTCTGTTTCTTGTAAATTTAATTCATTTTAACTTCTTTATAAATAATTTTTACGTTATCGTGGAATTTGACAGAAATACAACATGACGATATATACCTTTCCAAGTAAATTACTTATATTATCGTTATCGAGTCTAACAATAAATGCGCGATTGTGAAATTCATTTTAAGAAGCAATGATTCAACGAACCGATATACGATAGATAATAATATCAACATACATTTTTATAAAATATACCTACGTAAAACAATTGGATGGATTTATTGGTTCAGAGAGATATTATTTCATATATATGATTACAGATCTCGAAGCAACACGATCATAGAAAGAAAGGCGCGAGATAAGTATTGAAAAAATACTGTTTTATCACTTTCGGTGGAAATGCAACAGTTAAATATATATTTTTATTTGCTACTTAATATTATATACACACGACGCGTAAACATCGACGCTTATTTGCAATGTCGGAATGTCGACAAAATAGTTTTCGTTCGATGAAAATAAATCCACGGATGCGGGGGGGGGGGGGGAGAAGGTAACACGACGGTCCTGATCCTCGAGGATCGATCAACGTATGCGATCGCCATTCCGATCCAACATTCCTCGCGTCCCTCCCCCTCCTCTACGTTCGAAGAAACGTATGATTCATCGAGCTAATGCGCGTCTAAAAAATGCCCTTTTCATGCGTATTTTAAGTGCGTGTTGAGTTTGATTTCGCAGCCTAATGTCGAGTCGTGCGTCGGAAATATTTTCAACCTTGACTATTACAATGATGGCCTAGATCCTACGCTTAAAATTGATTTTGCGAAACAATGAGGAACTATAGTATACGATACTCGCTTGAAAAAAAAAACCCCTGCAAAAGTGAAAGTTGTCAAAGTATCGTCGTTTTCGTCGTCGAACCTCTTAATTACGGACGACGTGAAGTAAAATTTGCTTAACTTGCTAAGGAAGATTGATACTTGAAAAACATACATTGTACGATATTTAATCAAAAACAAAAGAAATGATCGTAAAATGAAAAAGGAAGATTAGAACACGATTTAAATATTTTCAATTTGCTTTCTTCCAAAATTTGAATTCTAAAAATTTCAAGTCTTTGTGTGTGTATATCCATTAAAACCGCAAGATTAAGATAATATACACAATGCGTATCGAAATAAACCGAAAACAAAATAATATATACGATAAAAGTAAGAATTAATGACACGCGATAAAATATTGAAATAAATTCTTCAAGCAAAATAACAATTATATTTCAATAATAAAGATAACGTATCCCCGTCGTAAGATCTACTTAAATAATCATTTACGTGATCGCACTTACATTCAAGATATACATATATGCGGCGCGATGCGCCAACAATGCGTAACAATGACAAAGATTTCCGTATGTTCCCTCTCGTACGAGAAGGGAACGAGAAGTCAGGTACGTGCGGTCGGTCATTTTCTTCCTTTTCTTTCTTTTCCGCGATCGATCTTCTCCGCGAAGGATCGCGAGACTAACGTGATCGTATCGATTGGCGGGTGCCAACAATTACAGCACTCTATTTGCTACACGATGGCGGCAAATTCGTGGTCGGCGTGGGTGTAGGGCTGCTGCTGCAGGATCTGCTCAGCGCGCGATGCGGCTCGACGTTGAGAAAGGTACGGTCCGTGGTAGGTGGTGCGGAAACGATTTCCGGTTCCGTGGGGCTGGGGCATCTTCTCTGGCTGCAGTTGGAGCCTGTGTTTCTCGACAGCGTCTGCAGGGGTATCCGATAGATTCTTATCGGCTTCCAATCGCCCTGACTATCTGCGAAAGCAAGATTTCTCGGTTGGAGAGTGACCTCAAAGCGTTCATCAAACATTTGGAGGCATATTTATCGATTGAATCGAGGGAGGGGATTGAACAGAGGGGTTTCGACTTCTGACCAAGACAAAGAAGCCGAGTAAGGTCACGTACTTTGAAAACTCGATCGAGAGGACGAAGATTGCGCGGTGGGCGGTGGGCTGCACGGCATCTCGTCCTTCTCGAATGGTTTCGAGTCCAATCGAATTCGCTCGCACTTCCCTGGAAGGAATTCCGGAGCCGTAGTCGCAAAGAATACGTCCCGCTTCGAAGTAATCAAGTTGATATTCGGCATTGCGATCGTGTGAACCAGATTGCCGTTTATTATCAGTCGAATCTCCATCGTGTCGCTAGTGAAGGCGATCACGTATGGAAAGGCACAGACTGTCGTAAAGAACAACGTCCATGTTACATTGGTATACGTTATTTAAATAATGAAAGATATTATATAGGTGTGTGCGTATGCATATGTGTGTGCAGATGACGACTGAATATTTTATGTATAAATATATCACGCGAAATTTGTCACAAAGTGTCGCACCTACGGCTATCGGCACCGAATTCCAATTGAAATCGAACTCGGTCGGCGCAGCGTTCTCTTCCATCAGTTTTTGAAAGTGACATGTATCTAAAAAAAATTATTAAACATTCATAAGTCTATTTTCAAGATTAGTATTTTAGATCCAAGCATTTCACGCAATTTAAATAAGAAATACTTGGAGATCTCTCGACGTATCGCTGAATGTCTTGAAATATAAGGCAAACTTGAAGCAAGTTAGGCATCATCAGCGGCTCTCAGGGATCTCGAAGTAAGAATTGAGATAAAATGCGGTGACCTACTGTTGTAACAAAGTAACAGTTCCGGCTCCTCGTCTTCGCGAAGATCCAACGCCGCCACCAAATGCGGCTTCGGCGTCGCTTCCATGTGAACGATCCTCGAAACTCCGCTCGCGGAGATCAACTCGAAGTGATGTCGGGCACCGCAGCACAGCGTCCACTCGTTGGTCGGATCGGCGCTCTCGATCATCGTCACTAACGTGGGTGTCTCGCTCGCGGTGAATTCCTTCAGCGGCAGGAAACCTTCGATGGTGTCCGTGTCGGCTGACGAGCACCAGATGGTCCAGGCCGCGTTGTGCTTCCATTGAAGGACCGTCAATCGGCGGCCGACGACTACGCACTGTCTCGCAATCACACATATTGCGTATTTTTCTCACGTTAAAATAATTATTCGACATCATCAGAACATCAGAAGAAAGAGGAGGAGGGAAATTTCATAAATTGAGTTTTCTCGACAGATTTTTAATTAATCATCTTTCGTTCCGCTCGGCGTGATACAGGCATTACTTTTGTATTTTTTTTTATCAATATTGTATGAAATACGCAATGTATTTAGAATAATTGCGAACGAATGAAAAGATTCTTTTTCTTTTTCACGAACGTTTATTTGATTCGTTCTCCAACTCTATTCATTGGCCAGTTACCAGAATTGGATGAAAAAGCCCAATAAAAGAAGAAAATCATAATAAATTTTTTTATTGTTTCGGATTTTATTCACTGCAATAAACTGCTGAAAATGATAAAATAACTAATATATAATAAAGTTATATATATATATATATAACTTTATGCAAAAAGATATTTTTGCTTTAATTAGTGAAACATACTAATCATTAAAAAAACAAAATTAATATAATGATTTTTTTAATTCAAATTAATATGTGAAATACATGTTTGAAACAAAAACTTTGAGGATATAGACTTGTTAAATTTTATATTAATTTTTAATGAGAAAATTTTAATGAGAAAAGTTTGATGAGAAAGATAGAATGACATTAACAAAAAATTAAAAATTTCTACCGATATCTAGTTCGCGTTTATCATTTTTCACCTTATAAAAGAAACTAATTTATTTGTTACATTAATTACGGATTTTATTTGCGATAAAGCTTATAAATTAGAAAACACTCTCTCACTTGATAAATAATTGTCGATAAAAAGATTTTCCATTTATTTTAACAGTTTTAATAGAAAGGATCATATTTTCCAGGCTTTTTCCCAAAAATGCAGATAGTAGAACATGAAAATGTCAAAAAAATATAGGATTTTGTCAATCCTGGCCAAATAAGAGACGAACAAGTAAAAAACTCGAGACGATACTTTACCATGCGTAGATGCGAGCCCCCGGGCCTGGTGATGCTGTACAAGTGACACCCTCGGGTACGCCGCAGCTTCCTCTCCTTGATATGAGCCCGGCTCCTGACAGCTGGTGCGCGAACGCGCGCGCGCGGCCGCGAGCGCGTCACCGGCTGAAATCGGGCGGTGGCGCGGGTGAAGTTGTCGCACTCGTCGGCGTCGTCCTCGTCGCAGTCGTCGTCGTCGTCCTCGACGTCCTCGTCGTCGACGTCGTTCTCATCCTTCTCCTCGTGGTTACGATCGGCGTTCAACAGCTCGGCGCACCTCGCGGACGCGTCGCTCTCGAACTCGCGCAGCCGGAAAACGTACACGCTGTTTTCCTTGCCCTTGTCGCTGGCGCGGAACAAGAGTATCCCGTGCTGCTCGACCACGTCCAGCTGCTTGATCTGCACCGACTCGTCGAAGATCAATCTGTGCGAGAGTCCGTCTGGAAATTGGAAAGCGAACGATATTAAAATTCATATATCCTCGTCTTTCTTCTTCTATTATATTAATTGTAACTTCTAATCTCGTACATATTTTTGTAAAATTTGAACGTAAAATCAATGATTAGATTTCCAAGATAATTTGCGCTACTCCAAATGTACCTTCGATGAGAAACGTCCCGTTTTCTGAGGCGAGGATCAACCTGTTTTCCAGCCAGACGTCTCCACAAACGACCTCGTAGGGGAAGTCGGGATAGATGCATCTCGGTTCCCAGGGTCTGGGCTTCAGGGGGCCGACGGTGGCCAGAGAAGTAGGCGCAAGACCGCGCATAATAGCTTCCAGTTTCAAGGCTTGTCCGACTCGCACCATCTCGACGGCACGGGTCTCCTCTCGACGTCGTCCTGGCGCCTCGACGACGTCTGAGAGCGCTCGTCGATTTAGCATGCTCTATGGTACAAAATTGTGCCGAATCGATCTTTAAATTCTCTACGATATATCAAGCTTTTGTCAAGATTACTACTGACAATAAGCATCTGACAATAAGCGTTTCTCTTGCGAAAAAATATCTTATTGATTGTTATATTGTAACATTAATATTAATTATATTATATTAATATCAATAATAATATTAATATAATAATATAATAATATTATATTGTAACATAATATTAATAATATTGATACAGTTTTTAAAATTTTCACTAAAATCAAGTATATTAATATAACAGTTAATATACCTGCATATTAAATCAATCACCTGCATATTAAATAAATGTCAAATTATATTTATCGATTTACACGAGTATTATAATTCAAAGTTAATGGAACGTGAAAAAAAGTATGAGCGAGCAAACGACAATTTTCGCAAAGTGACTTACGTTGCTTTTGCTCTCCTGCGAGTGCTCCTGGTACATATCTCGCAATAGGGCGTCGAGGGTTCTCTCCCTTTTTCTGGAGAATGTCGGGGTGTCGAATGTAGCCTTCTCGCCGTTGATCAACTTAACAAGGAGAAATTCCCGAAGATTATACGGGTCCTCGAATACCGGCGGGCAGGGTAGACTCGGGCCAAATAAAGGTACGTTCTCGTCGCAGTAAATAGCGACTCGCCACCCCTTGCCGTCTGCCTCGGTCGTCACCACGGCAAACACGTCTATGTAATGGAAAATGAATTGATAGTCAACAAGTGATCTTTTCTCATCTTACTTCCTATAATATTATGTTAGGTTTTTTTTTTTCTACAAGTATACGCTCATTGTTTTCGACTTCGCTTTGATTAATTAGTGATTGTAATTAATAAAGGACGATGAAAAGTATACGAAAAGAATATTTTTAATTGTTATATAAATGGAAACTGTTATTGATAACAGAGATACACATAATCGAGGAATAAATCAAGCGTATAAAGTGAATATATTGTTTAAAGTTCAAAGGAACATAATAAATAAACAAAATCTGTAGGTGTGCAAAGAGGAAAAAGGCGTAAAAAGGATGAGAATCACTGCGCTGTGTGTGGTATTTCAGTGTCAATTGTACAACCCGTGTGCACTTTATTACGCTTTACCGTGTATGTAACGACAATAAGCAAGGTTCGGTTGATATTGTAACGTGATCTTATCTGACCTTACGTGTGATATTTTTTTAACTCACGGGTAAATTGGCTTCTTATGCAGTTCGGATTGAATGTATCCACGGCTGACGGGTCATCCGTGTAGATGATGTTGACGATGTCGTTGCCAATGTGCCTCTTCCTCTCTAGCTGCTGAGGATTGTCTTTTGAATAGGGTAACATCGTGCTAACGTGATACATAACTTCGTGGCCTGCATAAACCGTGTAGTAGCTCTCCTTGCCGGTCATATCTCCTGAGAAACGATAAAATATATGAATAAAATCTCGGAAAAGAGAGACGAGATTTTTCAAATATACAAGAAAAATGCGTGGAATATCGTAAATACCACGGAAAGTACCAAAGAAATAATAGAGACTGAATAAAAAATGTTCCAATTGACAATATACTAAGCAATATTTTAATATTATAATTCAGTATCATATTATTTCAGTGCGCGGCTTTATGTTATACATTTATGATGGAAATAGTAGGAAAAGGGATGAAAAAATATTTGAATTCCATGTAGCAATCTGAAACGGGAGAGAGAGAGGGGAAGAGGAGATAAATTGCCAACCTCTTTTGATTGCAGAGATCCCAAGTTTGCACTGTCAATATTCATATTATCAACGTACCTTTCACATCCAAGCCACCTCTGTATTTGTCCCAGCCTTTGAGCCGTATTCGCTCACCCAGGATCTCCAGGAAAGCCTCGAAGCCCGGGCTACCTCTTTCTGCGAGCAATGAGAAACGTTTCTCAGCAGGGGAGGGGAATCGATAGCGCTATCTATTATCACTTAATTTCCCATCCCACTCGACTGTCTTTTGTTCTCGCCGACACTCCTGATGGTCTTACCGTTAGACAACATCTCGTCGTCGGTGATCTGACCTTCTCTCGCGTAAATTACGCCAAACTTGAAGTTCACCGAGCCTTCTTGTTCCTCCAGCAGTAACAGATCCTGCAACAGGCATCATTGAATTAGTCCGTGTCTCCGATGATGTCTTTTGTCGAGCGTGTAATTGGCATGAGACATTTGCAAACGTACCTTTTGGAGTTCAGGCGTGAAAACTTCTCGCGGCACCTTATCGAGTTTCTCCAGACCAAAAAAGTTGCTGAAAAGGTCAGAGTTAGTAGACTGACGTAACATGCACCGTTTCACGTTCTTTTCAATTTGTAGACAAAGAGATAGTTACCTGAGGATCTGCCTGATGGTCATTGTCTTGTTCGCCGAATATGGCAACGATATTTTCTGCGCGCCCTACGCGAAACATTCCTCAATTCATCATGATTGATTTTGCATTCACACATAACAATTAATAATTTTACACTCTTAATCAAATTGCGTGCTTAATCGAGATTGGATATTATAATGAAAGATTATAATTTAAGATCTAGTTTTTATTTTTTAATTAAATCTATTTTTCATTCATACATCGAGCGCAAAGTAAATTTATTTTAATTTATTTTAATAGAGTCATATTTTTCTTATGTAAACAGATTAAAGTAACGCGAATAATGTGATGAGATTTTCTGCAGTTTTCGCGCTAGGATGAAGAAGAAGAGAGTTGGGAATATAAATAATTCCGTAAATTCGTCTCCAGAGAAAGAGAAGGATGTGTCAGGAATCTGTTTTTCTTACTAAATAATATATTATCTACTTACAGTTCGCCTCCATAAAATAACTCTGTAGTGCGGTACACATTGATCACCGACTTCGCTTGTGACTACCGAGAGAAAAAGAGGATTTCTCTCTTGATCGGAGGCGATGTAATTTTGATGAACTGTGCATAAATAAAAGCGTAATCATTATTCACATATTGCTATTATTAATCACTTTGAGCTGTCTATAATAATATTGTGTAAGTAATTTTTGCGGCATAGTTTTTCTACAGTTATGAAAAATGGAGAAGGCACTTCTACTCTATGCATAAATTTTTGTTAAACGCAACGATGATTAACTCGGTCGAGCGAATATAAAGAGCATAACTCTATTTACATAAGTGGACTTTTAACGGAATTTTCCATCGTGTTATCGCAACATTATATAATTACTTGTAGAAAGAAAATTTAATTTAAAAAACTCGAACATAAAGTGGACAGAAATATGCGCAGAAATATTTCAAATAAATTACGCAGAAATATTCCAAATAAAATACGCATAATTAATCTAATTAGCACATCGATATTGTATCGACATTCACAACTTACGTTTTCCCAGAAAGTATTTGAAGTACCAACGCGTTTGATACTCCGGGTTCTCTAGTATCGGCGTACTCGGCGAACCGAACATCTGTCGAAGTAAAATTCGTTTCTCGTTACAGACGTCATTTCGAGAAATAAAAGTGGAATAGAATGAAATACGAAATGAGGCGAAGGTAAACAATTACGTTCACCAAGGGGAACACACGAAAGGGGACGAATCTTAAGAAGTGAAAGAAAGAGATCCGACAAACAAGTTGATCGTTTGATCATTAAGTTTTCTTACCTCTTCTTTCTCCCCAAGAGAGTCCCCGTTCTCCACTCGAAATCTTCTGCCATTGTCGGCGCCGTCTTGCTCGATTTGCGGCAACTGAAAATACATTTTCAGACGCGATTAGCAAACACACGAAATACCAGGTGTGAGTCAACATGCTCCACTTTTGTGTTTGCGAATCGTAATTCCGAGGCTTCGAAATGCGCGCTATCGAAAACAGAGATGGCAAAAACTTGTCGGGTTTTTCAAACTTGTCGTAATTGTTTTCAATTATTTTTATAAGCAATCTTTGGTTCTTCGGGAAAAATTCGATATTTATGTTTACAAAACTAAATTTAATCGAATTTTATTATAATTAAAATATTTATTATAAGCGTTACTCTAACGTATCTTTAAAAAATTAAAAAATTTTTTTTCTCTGATTAAAAATATTAGAATAGATGGTTTAAAAAGGAAAGTTAAATATGGCATTATTTAATTTCACATAATTAAAAAATTTAATTAAATCCTCCACAAAGAGAGAGAAGAAAATTTTATCAAATATTTTATTATTAATATAAAATATGATTTCTTCATTCATGAATTAATTAAAGACGTATTATATTTTTAATCACACAAAAGTATATTTGATGTATTATTTTGCAAAGTTTATCATTTTTTTTCTCTTTCTTATTTTTTGTTAGAAAAATCTATCAAATATATTGTAACGTCATATATCAACTATGAACACAGTGCAGCTTCAGCGAAATTGATAAGCAAATCAATAGATAAACAGCCAGAGATAGAGGGAGACAATATAATCAGTTTACTGTACGTGTCACAGATTATAGGACCCTCGTATGCTTTTATCATGGCGATTAACATTTACCGTGTCGCAGGCATTGTGTTAGGACCCTCATGTGGCAAGTAGAGCGAGACTCTTACCTAAATAAATCTGCTCTTTCTTACACTTACCATTTCGACACTGCCGTAGCATCGTCTCGATAGGACTCCTCGCCTCGCTATCGCGTCCGTGGTGGACCTAAAAAACGAGGTTTTACATTTTTAAATGTAAGTCGAACTTGTCATACCATGAAGATATTCTATCTCGCAGCCTTTTCACAAAGAGCACGTTTAAAGACCCATTCGCGCATTCGTTGGAGTCATATGGTCCGCAAACGCGTTTCATTTTCTGTTCGTTTGATTTTTAACGTGCTTTTTAATTTGCACTTACAGAGACATTTTGCTTTGCGTAAGTTTTTTATATAGCTCTTTTTCGCGTATATTCTTATGGAACTTGTTCACGTTAAAAGAAGCAACATGTCGCGGTAAAGGGCATCTTGGGCAAGAATACGTACATTTTTCTACCAATCTCACAATGGACTTCCGTTGTATTTGCAACATGCTATTCGAATGTATACATAACATAGTATTTTGCAGACGGATTTAAGTCACGGAAATATTGCTTGAAAAATTTGTTTCTGCAATCAATTTTTGCATTGCGAATTAATACTCGCAGAATTATCCATAATATGTCTCTCTTTAATTTTACTAATTAGATTTTTTGATTCTTCAATTTAAAATCTATCCATCCTTTACTAAAAAATTGGGGCACAAATAAAAATTTTGGGTCACAAAGATTTGAAAAAATAAGCGCTTTTTCCTGAATTAATATTCTAATTAAAATGTGTCCTACTCGATTAAATTTCAAAGATTTTATTTCTTAAAAATTTTAATTTGCAATTTAATTAGGATCAAATTTAAATATATTCAAAGTTACGATATAAAAAATTATAATTTGTAATTTAATTAAGATTAAATTTAAATATATTAAAAAATTACGATATAAAAAATGATTCTGTTCAAAATTAATTCTGAAAAAATTCACTTTATGTTCAGCAAATAATAATCTATAATATTATTTAAAAAATTGAGAACGAGACGGTTGTAGGGAATAGCCTGCCGTTGCGTTTTCCGATATTTTTTTTCGCACGGAAGATTAAGAGGTACAATTCTGTTATCGGCAGCATAATTATCATTGACTCGCTAAATGTACTCCGATCGAATACGATCATCCCCCGCGAACGGATCGGGGGATCTCCCCCGTAGTGTGAATGTAGCGTAATGTGATGACACTTTCCGTCCGCCGACTCCAACCCCTCACTCACATTTCTCATTTTTCACGACATGAATATCTGGGTTAACGAGAACCTACATCGAGGTCGAATTGGCCGGGCAACTGGGAGAGGCCGTTACACGGACAGAGATACAGGGAATGATTATCGTTCAAGATTCGGGATTTGCACGGATCGTGATCTTTCCGCAACAGCTCTTCTCGTTAAATCGTCGACCGATTCAAGTCTGCAAAACTATCGAGTTGTTGCGCAAAAAAAAAAATAGAGAAAGATCAATCGTTAAATCAACAGGTCAAGCATTAAATAAAATAATAAATAAAATAATAATGCCGTTCTTCTCGATAAAAACAATAGAAAACGGATGAGTGACCACTTCGCAAGATACGAATATCCGTATGATAAACAAAAAGATGAACGATAATAACGAGTTACTTGCTCTTCATGAGGAAAGCGAATAATCGACAATTGAAGAGTCAATAACTCGTTACTCGATTCGGCAATTGACTTCGTAGTTAATCTCGTTAGATCAGAGGCCACGTACACATGACTGGCGCGTCGATGGAGATGTCTGAGCTGCGAGGACGGCAGGATCGCCACGCACACCGATCTGGATCTGTTTCTGCGAATCATCTCCTGGACGCTCGAACCGGGTCGCAACAATTCCTCCTCGCTGTCGCTGGTTATAATCGGTACTTCGCCGCTGTCGCGTCTCGCTTTGCGAGACTTGCTCTTCTCCGTGGAACTCAAGGACGGCAAAACTGTGCTCGGCTGCGTCGACGAGGTATTGGTACCAGAGGAAGCAGTTCCTCGTAATCGCGAAACGAGCTTCATGTCCAAGCATAGCATTTTCACTGACCTCCTTGATACGCGACGTACGTCTCTACGTACAATTTAAATGTATGACTACGCACAACGCAGTTTTGTCATCACGGGCAACACGCGTCGCTAGAGACGAGCTCGATGCGTTTCTCCTCTGGTAACAGTAATTGTTACGATGTTGTTGAACTCGGGCGATAATAACGTTGGCACCCGCATCACTGTGCGACTTGTGCAAGCTAAACACGTTGCAAAATTGCCGCAACGGTGAGGTTGAGAGGAACTACAGGTGTCGTGAGATTGTTCGACGGATCTCGGGATTCGTGCTGTTGTCTTTAGATCCCGTTACCCGCCAATGCGTTGCATCTCACAGCGTCTTATCGGAGGAATATACCGATTATGTAGACAAGATCACTTGCACCGTATGGTAATCTGAATTCTCTCTCTTGACTCGGGTCGAAATTGGCGTCGGGCGATGGCTTGAATAACAGATCGTTGATGTATGCGGAACGGGAAAAATAATGCGTTTTATTTACCCATTTATACGCCTCGCTTTTGCGATCCTCTTTAAAATATTATGCAATAATATAACTAGTTATATCTTCACTTAATGCCTTTAACGACAAGTGACATGTTTTGCAACTTATGCTAGCGTCGCAAATGCGGTATCGTTAGAAATAATCGAGTCATTATAGATAATTATATATCATAATGTATTTCGTGATAAAAAGCTTAAAAAATGTGAACAAGTGACAACAAGTGTCTTCTAAAACGACTAAACGATAACTTCAAAATTATGCACTTTTCTCTTCGTTTCGTGAACTTATTTGTCGAAGATCCCTTACACATTTACTTTTTAAAAAGACAAAAATTAATATTTATATCTTAAAAAGTTAATTCATGTCATTTTGAAAAATACCTTATGAATAATATATTAAAAAAGGAACTGTATGTATTCTGGATGTATTTTTGCTACGCAAAGAGTAAACGATGCTAATATGAAATGTTCTGCATAAGTAAATGCAAACTAAGCGCGTAGGATTATTGAGTTTTTTTGTTGAAGATTCTTTAGATCTTTCTTTGAAAAGAGACGAGAAAATATTATAATATTAATATTTTAAATTAAATAGAGGGAAAATATTAATATTTATTTTAAATTAAATTAATATTATCAATTAAATAGACATAGAAAAACTTTTTTTGAATAATATATTGATAAAAAGAACTGACCAAAAGCTAGAGATATTTTTAGTGAAAAAGTAAACAATGTTAATATAGAATATCCAGTAAGCAAATGCAGACTAAGCGCGTAGGATAGTCTCAACACAAGAATATCGATTTCGCTAAGATAATGATATTCTTACAGCCTATTCTCGGCTTGGAAATTTTCTTTGCGAGTGATAGCAGAAAATTGCATATATAATACACATTTTATTTAAAATTCAAATGAGGAAAGATATAAATTAAATTCTGAATATCTAATTATAATTCAATTATGATCTACATACATATGTAATTATTAGATTTAAAAATCTTGAACAAAATAATTATTAGAGCTAAAACTTCGGAATAACAAACAATATCAGACAGAGAAAAAGAGAGAAAAAACAGAGATCAGTATTTCTAAATAACTCCGCGTTGAACAATGTAAAACGATAGAATACTCGCATTAAAAATGAAATAACAATGAAATTGAATAATGAAATTGAAATCATTACGTCAAGAATGTCACAAATGAATAGACGAATGAATCACGGAATTGAGTTTGCGAATGAACGATTCGATGCGGTCGTTCATCTCTCGTAGTTATTTTATCGGATCGATCGGATCAAAGATGTCGATACCTCCGGGACGATTTTATCGTCCAATATCCGAGATACCAGAAGTTCCCCCCCTCGTAGCATCGCGATAAGTGACACGTCAAAGATACCGTCCGAACGTATTCACAGGTCTTGTGTCCTACCTTCGGCAAACAGCAACATCGATCTCTCTTTGTCAGTTTTGTGGCTCTATCGCCAAATGGACAATTTGCGGCTGACATTGGACGTTTGTTATCCGAATAATTCGAGACGTCCGTGATACCGAGGAAAAAATGTTATGCTATTGATATCATCGATTTTTCTTGCTCTCTTGCTCTCTTGATCGTTGAGAAATTCGAATTGAAGGGCAACAATATCATTGAATTGATATAGGGTGATTCGACCAAAATATGTGAGATATATTATTGTGTATGTGTGTATACACACAAATATTATGTATAATATAAGTGTAATTTTCCGAACTCAGCTGACGAATGTCAAGTCGCGAAATATTCACTGTGAAATATCCAATCTCGAATCGCAAATTATTCTCGCGTGTGAACGAAAATGTTTTCGGTTATAAATATGCGTTGCTTGCGTTGAAAAATTGAAAAATTTTATTCGAGTCAATCAGACTGCGAGATATGCTTGTTTACGAAGGGTTTTCACGTGGTTTCCCACACATGAATTTTACCGCGAAAATATTGCGTTTTACTTTTATGTAAACTCGCGATTTCTACGTAAAATTTTACAAAAACCTCTGTCATATTGTATTAGATTTACGTGATATATGATATAAGAATAAAGTACCTTTGCTATATTATACTTTCGATTGAGAGATCAGTCCTTTTTTTGGAATTCGAAAGGATCAAACGAAACGTTTCTTAAATCTCAAAATAGATCAAAACTTCTTCGGAAACAACCTCGCTATTCAGGCCTTGATACTTTTCACTAACATCAACTTCTTTTCATGAGCTTAACTTTCCTCCCTCCAAACTAAAAGAAATACAAACTTTATTCTCGTTGAAAAAACACTTCATCTTAATTGTATCGTTTTTTAAAATAATATTACGATGACATTAAGAAACATGAAATATGAATCACATCTTAAGTGAATTTTTTTATCCTTAATTTTCCTCAAAAGCCATACTTCTTCTATTTTAAACTTGCAATATCATAAAATAAATCTTAATAAAAAAATTTAACTGTGCAAAGTGAAATTGCGTGAATTCCGTCAATAATTTATCCTTATCGATGTCATCAATAAACACTACCCCGCAGCCTCTCATCAG